ATCCCTCCCTCACCAGCAATCATTGCGAGGCGCTTGTTGGGGTCATCATTCCCATAGAACCAGATGCGCGCATTGGAGGGGTGGTAGAACTGTGTGCTGTGACACTGCAAGAACACACTACCTCTATCACCTCCCCTCGCACCACCCCTTGCCCCCTTCACCAATATTTACACCACGCCCCCTCACCAGCAATCATGGCGAGGCGCTTGTTGGGATCATCGTCCCCATAGAACCAGATGCGCGCATTGGAGGGGTGGTAGAACTGCGCGTGGAAGTCCTGGAACTGCTGGAAGGACAGCTGCGGGATGACCTTGGGATCTCCGCCACTGTCCACCGCATACTCGTTATCGGGGAACAGGGCCTGGGAGGAAAGAGAGGGTGGGGGAGTAAGAGGGAATGCGAGGGAGTTGGAGATTGAGTGAGTGGGAGTGGGTGGGAGTGGGGAGGCGAGGGTGAATGCAGGTGGGAGCTTCTTAAAAGCTATTGTCCACTGCGTACTCGTAGTCAGCAAACAACGACTTGGGCAAGGGAAGGGAGAGTGCTGAACAGTCACCTGCACGCGCCCATCACCCTTTTTTCCCCAATCCCCCCCAGGCCCTTTCACCCTCTCACGCTCTTCCCCCTTCACCACTGCACAGCACGCATGAACACGGATTCGGCCTGCAAGTACACGCCCATCCCCACCCATCCGCCCCCATCTCCACCCATCTCCCCTGATCCCCCTCACCTCGCTCCCCATCCCCCTACTCCCCTTCTTTCCCCTCACCTGCTGCACGGCGCGCATGAGTATACACCCTCTGCGAGTATACACCCTTTGCTACACGGCTCGCATCCCCTTTTCCCACCAATCTGCCCCGCACCCGCTCCCCTTTACCCCCTCCCTCTCCCCGTACCTTTCCCTTCACTGCTCACCTGCTGCACGGCGCGCATGAAGACGGAGTCGGGCTGAGAGTACACGCCTTTCATCTCGTTGAACACCACGCCTGCCCATTCAGAGGGGCGGCATGGGGGCATGGGGGAGTGGGGGCATGAGGGTATGAAGACTGAGCCAGGCTGAGAGTACACGCCCTTCATCTCGTTGAACACCACGCCTGCCGCGATCGCAACGGCCCATGGCGACATGAGGAAGAAACGGGGGTTGGGGCACCAAGGGACGGTAGGGACGGGGAAGACACGAGGAAGAAACACTCGCAATTGAGTGACCCGAAGATTGCTGGTATCCACAAAAGAGTTGAACTTCTAAAATTTGTGAGTTATGCACCCTCGACTGCCACATATCCCATCCGTCCAATTTCACATTTTCATCAAGATCCCAGCCCTCCACACCACATCTTAAACGTTAATCGTGGCCGTGGATGTACCTTTAAAGGTGATGTCGTCCTTGGGGTCATCGAGCTCGTAGTGCCACCCCTCCTGCTTCAAGCCGTCTCAAACACCTTTCACAACTCCAAAAAACTTAATCGTGGCCGTTGATCTACCTTTGAATGTGATGTCGTCCTTGGGATCATCGAGCTCGTAGTGCCACCCCTCCTGCTGCTGCTTTGAGACGTCTCAAATACCATCTAAGGTGATGTGCTCCTTCCTTGGAACCATCGGCGTACCTTTGAAGGTGATATCGTCCTTGGGATCGTCGAGCTCGTAGTGCCACCCCTCCTGCTGGAACGTCTTCTCGTCGCGCACGCAGTTGGGGAAGAACACCGCGTCCAGGTACACGTCCACCAGGTTGTAGAAGTCCTGTAACGGGTTGGACAATAATGAGGTATATTATTGAGGCTAATAAGACACCGCGTCCAGGTACACGTCCACCAGGTTGTAGAAGTCCTGTAACGGATCTCGCAACAACGGGAAACTTTTTCAGCCTCTCAAAACACCGTATCCAGGTACGAATCCACTAGATGGTGAGAGTCCTCACATGTCGCGCGATAACGAAGCGGAGAATGTGCTCTTGGGGATGGAGCACGGCGAGAGACCGTAGATTGAAGGGTGACTACAGTGCTAAGGGGAAAGCAGATTAAGTGTTTCAGACGGATGCAGTTCGGTGCACTGGTTTCAAATCCACTTCTCCTTGTCAGTGTTTCAGCGTGCGGGTCTCTATTATCGAATCAGGAGTGACGCTGACGTTACAGGCCCGACGCGCAAGCGCGCATACCAAGTGAAAGACGCAGCAAGACGCCGTACCTGCAGGTTCGTGGAAGCGACGGGGTAGCACGTGCGGTCGGGGTAGGTGAACGCGTTAAGGAAGGTGTTGAGCGAGCCCTTAGCGAGTTCGACGAATGGCTCTTTAACGGGGTACTTGCGCGAGCCGCACAGCACGGAGTGCTCGAGAATGTGCGGAATGCCCGTGCTGTCCTTGCTGTTGCGCGCAAGGCGGGGAGCACGGGGGAGAATATGGGGGAGGGAACGGTGCGGCGGAAGGAAAAGCGGGGGGGGAAGAGGAGAAAGCGGGAGGTGGGAGTGGAGGACACATGAGCAAACAAGGCAAAGATGATAAATAAGGGATATAAGGCCGTCTTTGAGCGACGCGTCTACACACATTGGACTCGCAGCATCAGGGTGGCACTGATCGACGCACTGTAGCTAATGTCATTCGAAATAAGACGATTTTTAAGGCTAGCAACCATTGTCTGATTTCTTGTGACGGGCATAGCTCCACGCGCTGCGACTTATGCCTTGACGGAACCGCCTCTTGCACTGCTGGCTTCGTTCGTTCCACTTCTCTTTGCTCGCTCTCTTCGTCGTTCTGAAAGGACACCTGGCGAGCTAAGACAAATGACCGCGCGGACTCACGGGGGCGTGCGGAAGGTGATGCCGAAGACCTTGTTCTCGTCCGCGCAGCACAGCGACATGATCTGCGCGCCCGTGCGCTTGTGGCGGTACACCGTCGCCTCCGCGTTGTACTCCGCCACGTGCTCGCGCCGCTCCTCCTCGAACCCCAGCCGCGCCACCACCTCGGGACTCGCCGCTGCGGATGGGGGAGGAGAAGGAAGGATATTGGGAGAAAAAGGGAGAGTCAGGGGTTGGGATGTGATGGGGTGCGGTCGGATGTTGCCGAGCGCAAGAATGGCGGCCCTTGGGATGCTGGGGGGCGCCGTGAATCAAGAAAGCGAAGAAAAAGCCTTGGATCTTCTTCCGTGGTGATTTCAGGATGGAAACTAAGGACACGGTAAGCCAAGTAAGCAGCGGAGGCAGCGCATGGAGAGCACACGCGAGGGAGATGGTGGGTGGAAACCGCATCGGCGATCAACGCGAAGGAGTTTATAAACGGTCGAGTTAAAAAACGTAATCTAGAAGCCGGCGATCCGGAAGACAGCAGATCGAGGCCAGGCGAAGTGGCTAGTCACAGCAATGGCGGACCTTGCTGGCTGGCGGGAGCCGTGGCGACGGATCCGGACGGCGCAGCGGAGCACGACACGCGCGGAATTCGTGCAGCGTTTGCGGCCAGCTTCCGCGCAAGAACTGCTGACGGCGCAACGGTTCCGCCAGTCAGCCTACGCAATCCACGCCATGGCTCCCCGCGCAAGCCACGAGGAGCGGTGATCGGGATCTGGATGACCCCCTTCGCGGACGATCCGCGCGCGACGGAATGCGCGCGCGGAACTGCGGAAGGCGCTACAGCAGCCGCGGAAGTGCCAGCGGCCGTGGAAAGAGCGCCTGACATGACTGCTGACGTCAGCGTGCGGAGAGCGGAGTACGGGGAAGCGCGCGACGCAGAAAGGTACGGAGAGGCAGCCACTGATGCCAATGGCAAATCCCTCGGTAGAGGAACCGTCCGTGGAGCTAAGAGCGCGAAAGACGGGCGTAATCGGACCAGAAGCGCACGAGCAGCACCAGACATTAACTCAAAACTAACAATAGACCCTCAAATAAACGAGCTATATGGCCTGTGCTGGCCTAACGCGTAAGCTCTACCGATCGAGTCTGTTGAGAATTCTGTATCATCCCTGAAGGCTGGAAAATGGTGCTGTGTGGATTCTCGAGCGTGTGTGGGAGTGGCGTGGAGAATGTTCCAGCTGGATAGCTTGCGGGGAAGGGGCTGAGGGGGAATTTCTGGGTGGGTGGGGGGAGTGTGGCGGGAATCTGCGGTGCGGCGGTGTGGGGAAAATTTCTGGCAGGGGGGGTGCACGTGGACAGCTGGAAGTGGTGTGATTTACGAGATGACGTGGTGTACCTTCGTGGATGGGTTACGAGATCACCACGTGGAGGAACGAAGCAACCAGTGCAGGTGAAGGTCTTCAACGGGTGTTTTTGTAAAAACAAAATTCTAAACATTATTTCTCCCTGGTTTTTGCAGAGACTGTACAATTCTGACTTAAGGATCACAATGACGGGTATTTTAATAGCGCGAAAACTATATGTTGCAAGAGAGTTCTTTCCGCACCACACCGCACCCAACCATGCATGACGCCTGGTCCTCAGTTTCATTCTCCACAGACTCTCCAAGTACAGAAACGCCAATGCGATCCGAGTCATATATTATAGCCTCCTAGGAGTTCCCCGCTGCTTGAAGCTGCCATTTTGGTCGCTTCTGTGGCGTTCGACCGTGCTCTGACGTGGTCGTTACCTGCGTGCACGTCGCACCGTATTTCGCGGGGACAAGGTCGTTTCTGTGGCTGTTTTCCCCCAACGCCATGGCGAGAGGTTCGGTTTCCGGTCTGGGAAGGCTGAGACTGCTCCTAGCCTCCGCTAGACCGTCCGATCAAGCCCAACGTTTTGTTACCGCCCATCCCTCGATCTCGCAATTCGCATCTTTCCACGCCGTTTCGCCAGCAGCCAGCACGTGTTCGGATCTACCTCCCCCACATGCACCTCGCGATCCGCCATCCACCACCCATGCGCCATACGTCCCCGTCACTCCATCTCTGGGAACCGTCAGTGCCAGATCCGTCACCGTCGAACTCGTTAGTGCTAGATCCGTTATTAACTCCACTGCATTCGTTAGTACACTGGCGAGTCACTCACTCTCGAGAACTCCCAGATCCCTGATCGCTGCTCCATCTGTGATGACGTCATCCGCATCACCGCTTACGTCACATCTGTTCTCGCCTCCGTCGCTCTCGTCGCCGTCTCTGTCGTCAACGTCCGCTCGTTCCTGGCTGCTGGCAGCCGGCGCCTCGTTCTCATTGGTCGCCGCGTTTTCCGGGACGGCAACGGTGGCGGCGAAGGAGCGGCCCGAGGTGGATCTGGGTCGCGACGCGGAGGTGGTGCTGTACCAGTACGAGGCGTGCCCTTTCTGCAACAAGGTCAAAGGTACACTATTGAATAATGCCAAAACTGCACTATCAAATGGCAATCTCGGTGCAAACACCGGTTTGTCGGGCGTGCTGGTGTCCCCCGCTACCTCTCCTCGCAATGCACGTCACGCCAACATATTTTCTCTTCAACCGCCGCCTGCTCCATTTCTGTGCGCTCCTTATCTCCGCAGCCTTCCTGGACTACCACCACATCAGATACCGAGTGGTGGAGGTGAACCCTCGTGGGCAAGGAGGTCCCCGTGCTCTCCATGAATCGGGAGTCGCGTGTCGGCTTTTCACGTGCTTCTCTCCTCCTTGCCATCGATTTCCCCCACTGCAGCCTTTCTAGACTACTACGACATCTCACACCGCGTGCTGGAGGTGAACCCCGTGGGCAAGAAGGCTCCCGTGGTCGTCGTGTCGACTCCTCGCGTGCTTCCCCCTTCCCTGTCACCTCAACACCTGCCTCTCTCCTCCTCGTTTCTCTTCCTTCCCACCGCAGCCTTCCTGGACTACTACGACATCCCACACCACGTGGTGGAGGTGAATCCGGTGGGGAACAAGGTCCAATGCTCGTCTCGTCAATGGGGAGCCCCTTCTCCACTCCTCACGTCTCTCTCCTCCTCCTCTCCCCTCACCACTGATCCCTCTCACTGCAGCATTCCTGGACCACTACGACATCCCGTACCGCGTGGTGGAGGTGAACCCGTCAGTGGGAAGTTGATTGTCGTCTCCTCACGTGCTTCTCTTCTCCCTGTCGACTCAACAGCCGTCCTCTCCTCCTTGTCGCCTTTTTCCCCCCCACCACAGCCTTCCTGGACTACTACGACATCCCGTACAGGGTGGTGGAGGTGAACCCCGTGGGCAAGAAGGAGCTCAAGTGGTCGCCCTACAAGAAGGTGCCCGTGCTCGTCGTCAACGGCGAATCCCTCGTCGACTCCTCAGGTGCTTCTCCCCTCCTCGTCGACTCCTCAGGTCTTCCTCTTATCCCTTGTTGTCTTGAGTCATCGCATGAAGGAGCTCAAGTAAACCCTACAAGAAGGTACCCGTGCTCGTCGTCAACGGCGAGTCGCTCGTTGACTCATCAGGTGCGGCTCTCCCCCTTGCTTTTGAGACGTCTCATAACCAACCAACTTGTTACCTTGTGGCAAGAAGGTGCCCGTGCTTGTTGTCAACGGCGAGTCGCTCGTCAACTCCTCAGGTGCTGCTCTTGTCCCTTGGCTGCCCTCTTGGCTGCCCTCTTGTCCCTCTCACCGTCGCTGCGTGGACCAGATGTCTGCTTCTCGTCAGACTGCCTCTCACCATTTCCCCACCTCCAGACCCCTTCTCTAGCACTCCGCGCCCCACTCCTGATGGCCTCCTTCTCAACCCCCCTTCGCTCTGCTGCCCCCTATGCGCCAACTCGCCGCATGACAGCCATGCACACCCTCCAGTTGCCGCTTTCCCTTGGTATTAGCCCCTTCCCGCACTCTCCCCCTTTACCTCCTTACCATTTCCTCCTCCGCCCTCCTCCGTCCCCCCTCCCAACTTCTCCCCTTCCCCCCACCATCCCCTCTCTCCCCCCCCCCCCATCAACTCCGAGTTGCACCGCCGTCTGAACTCTTCCAAGGCCACCACATCCCACTCCCCCCCTTCCTGTTTCCCCCTCTTACATCCCCCCTCCGCGCGCCAGCCATCATATCCGAGTTGCACCGCCGCCTGAACCCCTCCAAGGCCACCAACATCCCGCCCGCCGCCCCTGCTGCCTCCGCCGCGGCGGCTTCCGCGCCTGGCGCGTATGCCAGCGCCATCGGCGGCGGGAGTAGCAGCAGCGCGGGGGGAACTAGCAGCAGCGGGGGCGGTGGTGTGGCGGAGGGAGTGGCGGAGGTTGTGGGGCACGTGGGCGAGCGGGGCGTGGCGGAGGGGCAGGCGGAGGAGGAACTGGACGAGGAGACCCGATGGCGCAGGTATGGTGTGGGGGAGGGAGAGGGGGAAGGGGGAGCAAGTGTAGGGGATTCGGGACAAGGCGAAGAGGGGGGTGGGGTGGTGGGGGGGGGGGGGAATAGGACACTTTGGAAAAAAAGGGAAGAGGGGTGGGGGAGAGAGTGGGGTAAGGAGCGTAAGCATATGCTGTGCATTCTACATGGAAGCGTCTAAGTGGGGGCTAAAGGGTCGCGGAGAGAAGGGAAGGGTGGGGGAGGAGCAGGGAGGATTAAACAGGACTGTCCGTGGAAGGAACGAGCGGTGTTGACACCCATCATGCCTCTCTTCCCCTGTAGAATAACGGCTATCCTGGGTGCGTCTCTCACTCTCTCTCTCTACTCCGTCTCTCTCTCCTCCATGGCAGGTGGGTGGATGGGCACCTGGTGCATCTGCTCTCGCCCAACATCTACCGCTCGCCCTCTGAGGCGCTAGAGGCCTTCGACTACATCGCCACCAATGGTATGCCTCCCACCCACCACTACCACCAGTGCTGCACTTTGGGTTTACTGAAACGGTTCTTGAGTTGACTCACAGTTGCCTCTGAGGCGCTAGAGGCATTCGACTACATTGCCACCAATGATACCACTTCCCCTCCGCCACTGTTGCTCTGCTCTCTCTAGCTCTCTTTTGTGCTTCTGAAGGAAGGCCTGTGCCAATGCGCTTGTTGTGAGGGCCATTCATGGCTGCCGACTCGCTTCGCTAGACTCGGCACATCCAGATCATCTCATAAACGCATGCCGGCAGCTTCTCCAGCATAGGGCCATGGTATGAGCGCACGGAGCAGCGCATGCCAGCATCTTCTCTGGCCACCTCTGCTCTGCTCTCTCTAGCTTCCTCTGTGCTCATGCCCTTGTGACAGCCATGAATGAAAAGCTTTCTCTGGTAGCGCAGCATGTCAAACAAGTGCTTTTTTAGAGTCGACTCAACAGTCCCTCCTCCTCCTCCTTCTCCTCCCCCCTTTGCAGGCAACTTCACGGCATGGGAGCGCATGATGGCTCAGTCCCAAGGAGCACCACTTGGCTCGTAATGTCTCCCACCACAAAGTGGTGCTCCTTGCGCATGATGGCTCAGTATTTTGGGGCGGGCGCCATGTATGTGATCGGAAAGAAGCTGAAGAAGAAGCACGGCATAGCGGACACATGCTCTATCTACGAGAGTCGACTCAACAACCCCTTCTCCTTCCCCTCCTCCTCCTCGGCCCCATGCAGGCAACTTCACGGCGTGGGAGCGCATGATGGCTCGCTATTTTGGAGCGGGCGCCATGTACATGATAGGCAAGAAGCTGAAGAAGAAGCACGGCATAGCGGATGAGCGCACCGACCTCTACAAGGCGGCTGACGAGTGGGTGGCGGCTCTTGGCGACAGGAAGTTCCTCGGTAAGTTGTCAGTGGGGGGTGAGGGGGGTATTGGGGTGAGTGGGTCGCATGAAGTGAGCAGTTGTGCTTTGAGTCGACTCCAAACGCACGGACCTTTACAAGGCGGCAGACGAGTGGGTGGCGGCTCTCGGCGACAGGAAGTTTCTTGGTAAGTTCTCAGTGGGTTGAGTGGGTTGCATGAAGTGAGCAGGCGTGTTCTGAGTCGTCTCAAAGCGCACGGACCTTTACAAGGCGGCCGATTCGTGGGTGGTCGCTCTTGGTGAGAGGAAGTTCCTTGGTAGGTTGCAGTGGGTTGAGTGGTGTGAGTGGGGTGATTTGCAAGAAGCTGAAGAAGAAGCACCGCATAGCAGGTCAGGTGAGGTGTCATGGAGTGTGACTGTGTGTGCGTGCTCCTCTGCTGCGACCGTGCCTGTGCTGATTTTCAAGCTATGTTGATAATGCACCCTCTCTCTTTGCTGTGCCCTGGTTCCATGCCTACAGGAGGAAAGACCCCGAACCTCGCTGATTTGGCAGTGTTTGGAGTGCTGCGGCCAATCAGGCACCTGACAGCTGGCAGGGACATGGTGGCGAATTCGAGCATAGGGCCGTGGTACGAGCGCATGGAGCAGCACGTGGGCGCCTCTGCCAGGATCACCGCCGCTGACGGTGCTGCTGTGACTGGCGCTGCTGCGGGCAAATAGGGCGTTAAGGGCACGTAACCATTTTGCATTTTACGATTTTGACGGACAGTCCGCTTAAAACGAAGTGGACGGTGTTGGGCTGAAAAACCCTTAGGATCTTTGCAGGGGTGAACTCTGGGTAGAGTTGGCGTAGTAGCGGAAGCGTTAATTAAAGGGTTGTGAACCACCTTGCGCTAGTATGTGAGGGCAAAGTAAGTTGATTAAAACAGGTAGATACAGGTTTATATATGAGTACAAGGAATACGAAGAGATGCAGTTATAACTGTATTGCCGTTGTGGTTTGATACAGTGACGACTCGGGCAACTGCTCTGTAGCGAGTCAGTTGTGTGTCCTTGCTGTCGCGCTGTATTTGTCAGGTCAAAGGTCGCTGACCTTCGCGTAACCTCCAACAATTACTTTCAACCTCAGAGGGTTGACTCGCCGGTGATTCGTTATACTTCGTTTCTTTTGTGTCTTAGTGTTTCGACACGACAGAGGCGCTTAGGACCGATTGTTTCCAACACTCCCCTTCGCTTCTGGAGTGTCGCTGACGTGGCTCTGTCCAGTCAGCAGCATGCAGTATTCGAACTTCTGCTTTCCGAGCTTCTTGGTCAGGTAGTCAGCTGCCATCTCGGACGTGGGACAGTATGACAGCTCGAGCCTGTTGGGCTGAGATAGCCCCTTAGGATCTTTGCAAGGGATAACTCTAGGTGAAGTAGTTGTAATAGCGGAAGCGTTTAGTGAAGAATTTGAACCGACCTTGCACTGGTGTGTGAGAGCAAAGTTGATTGAATTAAACAAGCAAATACAAGGATTTATATAAGAGTACAGGGAATAGATAGATAACTGTATTGCTGTTGCGGTTCGATATAGCGCGACTCGGGCAACTGCTCTGTAACGAGTCAGTTGTGTGTCCTTAACTGTCGCGCTGTAATTGTCGAGTCAAAGGTCAGCGACCTTTGACTTTCTCGTAACCTCCAGGCGGTTACCCTAACCTCCGAGGTTGACTCGATGCTTCGATTGGGACTGCTTCGCTTGGTACCTTGGATTTTGATACGACAGAAGCGCACTTAGGACTTATTGTTTCCAACACTCCCCTTCGCTTCTGGAGTGTTACTGCTGGTGACGTGGCCTTGTCCAGTCAGCATCATGCAGTATTCGAACTTCTGCTTGCCGAGTTTCTTGGTCAAGTAATCGGCTGCCATCTCGGATGTTGGACAGTATGACAGATCGAGTTTCCCTTTTTCTATCTCGTCCTTCACGAAGAAATAGCGCAGGGCGATGTGTTTCGTCCTGTTTGCGAAGCCGTTTTTGTTGGCGATGCGAATTGCTGACTGGTTGTCGCAGAACACGGTGAAGCTGGGTAACTCGGCTAGCTTCGCTTCTTCCAGTAGTTCGCGAAGGTAAAGTCCCTCCTTGGTGGCTGAGCAGAGTGCAATATATTCTGCTTCTGCTGAAGATAGTGCGATTAACTCCTGCTTGCTCGACTGCCAGGAGATAGGACCGATAGGCTCAAGGCGGTAGACATAGCCGGTGCGTGAGCGCCTGTTGTCGGTGTCGCCGGCGTGATCGGCGTCGACGTAGCCGATTAGCTTAGTCGGTGTAGCTGCGCTCTTGTGGTAGGTTAGCCCGATCGTCGCGGTGCTGACGAAGTAGTGGAGAGCGCGATCAAGTTCCGCCAGGTGTTCAGCTTCAGGCTTCTTGAGATAGGTGGCGAGCTGACTTGCGGAGTAGGATAAGTCAGGACGGCAGGTGACGGCGGCGAATAGCAGGCATCCGAGCTTCTTCTGATAGTCGCGTATGCCGGCGGGCTTGAGTAGAGTAGTTCGTTCCTTCTCGGTTCCTGATGTGTAGCGGTAGGGCGTGGAGATGGCGCTTGGTGTGAGGCTGAAGCGTTTCGCGATGGTGTCGGCGTATTTCTCGGCGCTTAGATAGATGGCGTTTTCTTCTTCGCGGATGTTGAGCCCGAGGTACTGTGTAACGGTGGAGGAGACCGTGAGCGTGAGGTCTTTCTGGAGCTCTCCTTCGAACCACGTGGCGATGCCGTCGGTTGACCCAATGTAGAGGAGATCGTCCACGTAGACGATCAGGAGAACGTAGTCGCTTCCCTTAGTGAGGCGGTACATGCCTTGGTCGTGAGGTAGTTGACTAAAGCCGATGCGGATGAGACGGGCGTGCAGGTACTGCTGCCACAGTCGCGGTGCCTGCTTGATCCCGTAGAGCGACTTAAGTAGTTGACAGATTCGGTTGGGTTCGCCGTGGGAACCGTGCGGGAGCTCGACGTAGATTTCTGCATCCACAGGTGCGTAGAGGAAGGCATTCGCGACGTCGATCTGCCGTAACTTCTTCTTCTTCATGGCGGCAATGGCGAGGAGAATTCGGAGTGACGTGTGGCGGCTGACTGGAGCAAAGGTCTCGGTGAAGTCTCGTCCTTGCTCTTGGTCGAATCCACGTACGACCCAGCGTGCTTTGAATTTTTCGATCGTGCCGTCTGCTTTCGTCTTGATGCGGAAGACCCATTTCCCGGTAAGGATGGTTTTGTTCCGTGCCACGCTTACGGGAACAACCTTCCAAGTGTTGCGTTCCTCTAATGCCTTCAGTTCTCTATCCATGGCTTCACGCCATTTCTCCCTGTGTTCCCCCCCCAGAGCCTGCTGAACCGTTGCAGGCTCCTTAGGAAGCGAGCTGCGTGTGTTCCCGTGGACTGCGGTGACGAGGCCGAGGATTTGCAGCCCAGTCTGTGAGTATCGAGGGAGTTCTGGATCCTCGGGATAAGCTGCTTCGTCTCCCGTTTCTGGGTCGGGCATGAAATTTGGCCCTACCCTTTCTGCTTCGTTGGTGTTGACTGTCACAGGTGTTACGTAACCATCGTCGGCGAAACGGTAGAAGATTTCGGTGTTGTTACTGTCGCGAGGATTATCCTCATCCATGGGCACGTCGACGGAGCAGTATGGGAGAGGTCCGGCTTCTTCTGAGGCGTTGTCGACGTTCTGTTCATCCCAGTCTGCTTCGTCCGCTGCTAACGCGAAGGCTCGGTCACCACGAAAACCACTGGTGAGGTCCCGATTCTCGTGCAAGTTGGCGAGGTACGTCTGAAGGGTGAGTCTTTCGTAGAAGATCACGTCACGTGCTGCTACTGTTTCCTTTGTGTGGACGTCGAAGATTTTCCATGCGTTGTAATTTTTCTCGATGCCGAGGTGTAGTCCCCACTGTGCCCGTTGCGAAAATCTTCCCGCTCGTGCTTCTGGGGGTCTGTACTGTACCATGCACCCGAAAACTCGTAACATTTTCGTGCTGCCCTGCTTCCCTGTCCACAGCAGATGCGGTGATGCGTTGTTCGGGAGTGACGACGACGACAACAAGTTGTGTAGCATGACAGCGTGGTCCATTGCTGCTGGCCACTGGTGGTTGGGTAGCCGCATGCCACGTAATAGTTTGCGCATGCTGTTCTGCAGGGTCCTGTTCAGTCGTTCTGCAACACCTTGCTGCTGATGTGCGTAGGGAAGGGAGAGGAGTTGCTTGATCCCCCTTTCCGCCAAGAACTGCTTGAAGCGGTGAGAGGTGTACTCGCCACCTCCGTCTGACTGGAAATTTTTCAGTTGTGTTCCAGACTCTCTCTCTGCTATCGGTAGAAGTAGAGAATCTTTGTCAAGGACTCCTGCTCTTATCGTGTTATTCAAAACCGTGTTGCTTGGATGTCCTGTTCGTGCGTGCCAGATCTCTTCAGAGGCGCGGTGTCCAGGTGAACGCTGATATGCGTCGGAGTTGGAGTAAAAGCTGGCGACGAGGTTGGCGCTTCGGTGGACTTCACGTTGAGTCGGATTCAGCTGTTTCGCGGGTGTTGGTGGTGCTTCGTCGACTGTGACTGGTGTCGTTGTTCCTGCTGCTGCTGATGTTGTTGCTGCTGCCGATGTTGTTACTGCTGCCGATGTTGTTACTGCTGCTGATGTTGTTGCTGCTGCCGATGTTGTTACTGCTGCTGATGTTGTTGCTGCTGCCGATGTTGTTACTGCTGCCGATTGTCGAATTGTTGCTAATGCTCGTGTTCGTTCTGCTTCAAGAATGGTGTGCGAGTACCAGAAGCCTCCTAGGCTGAAGTCGGGGTCGAGATCCGGAGGGTGTGTCCAGTCAGTGAAATTCACGATGGCGTCGCTGTCTGCAGTGCCCAGGTCAGGAACGAAGTCGAGGACGAAGACGTTGTTCTTCAGCACTGCTTTCCCGATGTAGAGACCGCCTCTCCCGTGGTAAAGTTTGAACTCCTGGGTCGTGCTGTCGGCTTCCAGATGAATTCCTTTCGCCATCAACTGGCTAACGCTCAGTAAGTTGTAGCCGAGTCCTTCAGCGATGAGTACCTTAGACATGTGCAGTATGACATTTGTTTCTCTTGACTGAAGCTGTACCACTCCTTGTCTTCGTGTGCGCAGGTTTTGGTTGTTGGCAACCGTGATGATCACTTCCCGTTGGAGTCGATGTTCGCGTTGTACGAAACGCCCGGACGAGCACATGTGTTGCCCGCAGCAACTGTCCAAGAACCAGGTGTCTTGGCCGGACGGTTCACTTTGAGCGATGGCGGCGTACGTTGGATTCGGCTGGAGTAGCTCACGGCGAGGCGTTCTGTTGTCAAGCTCTTCTTCCGGTGAGTAGTGTGGTGGTGATTCGGTTGTACATGAATCGGTTATCTTCGTCATGCAGTTGATTATATTTCTTGCTCCTTGTGCAGGTTGTCCGGGTGAAGTCGTTGAAGCTTGAATAGTGGTCGTCGCACTTGCTTGTGTTGAAGCCATTTGGGAGCTTGAAGGTCGAAGTTGTCGCTGTGGTGCCGTTGATTGCTGACGATTCGGGCAGTGTGTGCGCGGGTGCCCTGAAGTCTTGCAGATGTGGCAGAAGGGAGGTACTATCTTCGGTTGCTGCTGTCGGTTGTTATAATTGCTGTGTCGTCGTTGAGTGTGGAATGCGAACTCTGATACTGTCGTTTTCTTCCTGTGTCGTTCTTCCTGCAGGTCCATATCTTGCTGCTCGG